GATGTTAAATTACGAATTTTCTGCAAAACAATGTGCGATTAAGTGGAAGAATATTAAGCAGTACTCCAAAAAAAATTCTTAAATTCCATTTTCATAATTTATCTTCACAAAATGTCATGTGTACTGCGCAACTTTCAGAAATTGTTCGTGATTCGTTCCAGATTATTATAAATATTTTCGTAATTTCGTTCAATCTGTAATATGATACAATAAGAGTAAGCTTTTGATCTTAATAAAGTTTGTTTGATTTTATGGATTTAAAATGTTAAATCAAAAGATGTTCATCAGTGATGCTGGCCAGAAATTACAAAACGGGCCGGTAATTTAGGCCAGTAGACGCTGATCGGAAAAATTTTGCCCCAGATTACAGTATTTTATGTCACCTGATAATTTTTTTTAATGTAAGATCGTCCCATTGGTAAAAAAATTATTCAACTTTTAAGATATTTAATTTCTTTTAATATAAGTGTACAGTATTTTCAAATATTGAACCATTTATGTGACGGACGCATGCTCGAGAATCTAGATTCAATAATGGAGTTGAAAATCAAGTTCATTTGAAAACGATGGAGTCGACTCGGTTAAAGTTGATTCAACGGTTGTTAACAAGCTTGTCTAAAATTCTATAATTTACAAACTAGCCCTCAAGTTCATTTGAAATTTTTTGGTAGGAAATTTCTAATTTCTATGCATTTTGCAGCAGGTATGAACTTAATTCATGTAATAATAATTATATTGTGATAACTTTTATTGAAATTATTGAAATAGTAATTCTCAGAAGGAACCGCAAACCTGTCACGTCATCAACTTGGTATTATTGAATAATTCAATGATATCATTAGGGTGAATCCAAATATCGAGTTGATAATTTAAGAATATATTACAAACATTTACCTTGTTAAATCAATTTGAATTAATAATTCTAAAAAAATGAAAAATGAAAATAATGAATGCAATTTGTTTCAAGAAAGTTTAAAAAATGTAATTTGGAATACAGAGCAGACTAGCCGTCGATTATCGTATATTTGTAAATAATAATGAAAAAGTTAAATCTTCAACCAATTTAATAGTCTTTATTTCAATAAAAACCGTCACTTTATTAAAGGACAAATACATTTTTAAGTTAAAGTAAAATACTATTTTTTGTATTTACTAATTATTTCTATGAATAACGATTCCAACATGTTGGAATCGTCATTCAGAGAAAAATCGGAATCAGTGTCGGTTTTATGGTAAGCTATTCTGCTTAAAAAGTTTTCTAAGCTCAAAATTTCATTAATGTTGATCGCTGAATTACACAATATTAATTAGCTTTCAAATTTTTGTAGGATATTCGTAATACGAAATTATGTTACTAGCGTCTGTAGTTAATGAATTATAAAGCTTTTAAAAACTAACAATGAGGTGGTACAATACTTTCGGAAGTCACTTAAGTTGCAATGTTTACTTTTGAAGGTCTGCATAAAAAGCCTATCTCGGGTCCTGAATTTAAGCCGAGTATTAAAAAAACCAGCCCGGCCCGGCTCGGACTTAATAATATGACAATTTGAACTAGTTCCGTAAAGTTAATTTATGCTATTAAGGCGAACCGAAATTTCTGGTCGCTTTAATGAATCGTACCGCGGTACAATCTGCAAATTCTACTGGTTCTAAAAGGTCAGAACGATTCGATTTTCGTATTGACCAAACGATTCATATCGTACCGATTTTTTCATTTATGCTAATATCATAATGATTATATACATGGCATGAATCCACTTGTTGCTGAAAAATGCAATGAAGCTTTGAAGATTAACTGATGAAAGAAATTCAAGTTATGAACGATTCAAAGAAGAATGAAGAAAGGTGTAACAACCTACCTGGACTGGTTGCTACGATTCCCGGACAAAAGTAATCAACAAAAGAATTTAAGAAATGATACCTATAAAAATTATGCCAAAATAAGTTATATAACCAACCTGGAAAATATCACAACGTTCTAAATAGTTTTACTGCGTACCAAAGTTATTAATATTTGACCTATTAAAAGTATTTTACTAATTGACGCTATTGTTTTTTTCCTATCAGTATCATTTTGTTGAAGTTTATGATTTCGCTTGTACGGTTTGTATCGATTACGGTAAAGATTTGTCGAAGTATTTGATTCGGTCCATTAATATAAGTTGTACAAAATTGTATACAGAAATACTATGAGTTTGAAATCTCGCGAAGTGATTAATTTTTTGTTTGTAAAAACCTTCATGGGTTGTAATTTCTAATTTTTCATCACAAATTTATCTAGTGAATTCAAAATTTCTTGTTTAATATTTATAATTTTAAATTTAAATGATCTAGTATTTCAGATAAAAATTATTAATAATAAATTTTATAATACCGAATAAAAATATTTTTGACTTAATAATTTTTTTTTTAAAAAAAAAAAATCGAATAATTATATATTTAAGAGGTTTAACCAAAATTCGGCGTCGTATTTCCTTTAAGCCGTTTAAAGGAAATAATATATATATCAAATTTTCTTAAATTTAACTTTTCTTTTAGTTATTGTCACATTATATTTTTCAAAACTTTGGAAAGTCGAGCGTATTTATATTTTTTTTTTTTGAAACCAAAATTAATTACTGCGGCGATAAATAGACGAAATGATATGCACGCCGGAATTCCGGAGTATTTTTATTCTTTTAGGAATTCTTAAGAAGTAAGTTTTTTCCATAGAGAATCAATAATTATCTCGCTTTCAACTTTCTTTCCAATTCATTTTATTGCTGCACTGTAGCTGCCGAAACAAATTTTTTTTAAGAAAAAACTTACTTTCATTATCGGCCGATTGAAATTCGATACTGCGCTTTTCCTGCCTATCTGTTTGACTCATCATATTCTATTTTTTAATTTTTCTATTTTTATCTCCATTTGTAATATAATGTAATGTTACATCATGTTTCACAAAATCGTTATACTCTTGAATAATTCTTTCGGAATTCTAGAGCGGAAATAAGTTATCTTGATACAAATTTTACTATAAGAAAAAAAAAATTCCCAATTTTCATAAACTGACACGGTCCGGGTAGATAAACTCAATTTGAATATTCGATTAATCTCAGTTCAGAAAGCAGTTAACTTTATTTGGTAAGACAAGAAACGGTAGATCTTTTTAAGTTATCCGAGCAGACTAGGTTGTTTAAGGGAAATATTTACAGTTGAACCGAGGGCTGAGCAAAGGAGAGATTTTATTGGTCATTATTAATGCAAGTAAATCATAGAAATAACCAATCTGAACAAATTAAATAAAAAAAAATTAATCAAAAATGGTTTTAAAGAAAAATTTGGAAAAATCCTTAAAAGACTTGGAAACGAAAATTGAGGAGTTAGAGCAAAGCAACGAAGAGTTACGTTCACAATTCAAATATTTAGAAGAAAAGATTAGAGTACGAGAAGAAGTATCCAAAGAAAAGCAAGAAATTATTAATGAATTAGAAGAGAGAATCAGAAATCTTGAATTAATTATTTACGATGATACTATTGATAGTTTGGCTATTACAGATACTAAGGATGACACCTTAGGCGGATTGCAAAGATATCAAAAATTGGATTGTAGTAATTCTCAAATAACAAGTTTACCAACGTTGACCAATTCCTTAACGGAACTTAATTGCTCTTATACTCCAATAACTATCCTACCAACACTACCCATTTCCTTAAAGATACTCAAATGTTATTGGACTGAAATTAATAGCTTACCAACATTACCCAACTCCTTAACGGTACTTGATTGCTCTAGTACTCTAATAACTACCCTACCAACTTTACCCAATTCTTTAACTTATCTTAATTGCTCTAATACTCCAATAACTATCCTACCAACATTATCCAACTCCTTAACGGAACTTTATTGCAATGAAACTTCAATTACTATCCTACCAACATTGCCCAACTCCTTAACGATTCTCAAATGTCATAGCACTAAAATAAATAACTTACCAACAATATCAAACTCCTTAACGGTACTCAGATGTTTTTGGACTGAAATAAATAACTTACCAACTTTACCAAACTCCTTAACGGAACTTAATTGCTCTGGTACTCCAATAACTATACTACCAACATTATCCAATTCCTTAACGGAACTTTATTGCAATGATACTTCAATAACTATCCTACCAACATTGCCCAACTCCTTAACTGTACTCAAATGTTATAACACTAAAATAAATAGCTTACCAACATTACCAAACTCCGTAAGGGAACTATATTGCTCTGGTACTCTAATAACTATCCTACCAACATTACCCAACTCCTTAATGGTACTCAGATGTTTTTGGACTGAAATAAATAGCTTACCAACTTTACCAAGCTCCTTAACGGAACTTAATTGCTCTGGTACTCCATTAACTATCCTACCAACATTACCCAACTCCTTAACGGAACTTTATTGCTCTGGTACTCCAATAACTATCCTACCAACATTACCCAATTCCTTAACAGTATTCTGGTGTAATAGCACTAAAATAAATAGTTTACCGATTTTGCCCAACTCCTTAACGGAACTTAATAGCTCTGGTACTCCAATAACTATCCTACCAACTTTACCCAACTCCTTAAAGAAACTTTATTGTTATAAGACTAAAATAAATAACTTACCAACATTACCAAACTCTTTAACGAAACTTGACTGTTCCGATACTCTAATATCTATCTTACCAACTTTACCCAACTCTTTAACAGAACTTTGGTGTATACATACTTCAATAACTAGCTTACCAAATTTTCCCAATTCCTTAACGAAAATTTACCCTGAATATTTAAATCACAAACAACCATCCTACCAATTTCTTAACAAACTTATTCACTATTTTCGTTCTAAATAATAAAATGATCAATTTTTTTGGTTCAAACAGTTATTTATTAATTATGTAAAAAAATAATTATAAGTTTGTATCGTAACATCAAAAATAATTTAAATTACAACAAAATTTTTAAATTCAGATGTATAGTCAGAGAAAAGATATTAATTTAAAAAACTTGTAGAAATACAATCAATCTTTAGATTTGCCTTCAGAAGCTACCATTATGCAAGCGGGTTGCTGAGATATTGGTGTATCTAAGGGTACAATTGGAAGTATTGTGTCAGATTGGAACAGCTGTGGTAATAATACATTTACACCACACAAATTTCTTGGATGACCTATATTAAAACCTGATGAAAATGTAGCTGAGCTTTTGCGTATGAAGGTTTTAAGTGCTAATAAAGCGGGTGAATACCTTTCCACACCTATTCTAAGATAATTTCTTTCTGAATAAGAATATACCATTTCTAAATGGAAGCTCCTTCGGGTACTACATCGCTTGGGATATTATTTTGGCCAGGAAGAGCGAAGGAACATTCTTCACGAATTACCAAATAATGTTGCATTCCGTTGCCATTATCTTTGTTATAGATTTGCTAATTTGGAAGGTAAAAATGATGTTTCACGCTACCCAGAGGTTTTCCTTGATAAGTCGTATTGCCATTTGCATCATACTTCGCAAAACACATAGGTTCCCCATCAAGGTGTTGTTTTATCACTTAGGCATGAACCGTTAGTAGTAATTTTTGATGCAATTATAGTATTTTGAAATGGATCCTCCAATAAACTGCATGTTAAACTTGTTCCAAACTCTGTTCATATTTGGGATCTAAAAATTAAACCTCCAGGAAATAGAGGTCAGAAAAGAAATAATGCTGAAGAATAGGACAATATTTCCAATATCATTAAGGATGCCAATATTATTCCAAACCAGGTAGATTATCACGGAAACTTTAATGCAGAAATATTTGAGAATCTTTTTACAACTCTGTGTAAAAATCTTCATGAAAAATATGGATCAGTAATTATCTATATGGATGGAGCTAGTTACTATAAACGGCGAGTAGAAAACATTCTGATTTCAAGTGCAAAAAAACAAGAAATAGTTAACTGGTTAAATGTACATGATATTTCTTTTTCTGGTGAATTAAGAAAGCTGGAACTTTTGAAACTAGTGCAAATGAATAAGGAAAAGGTTCCTTTTTCTTGTGTTAAAATAGCAGAATAGTACGAACATGAAATTAATTTTACCCTTCCATATCATTGTGAACTTCAACCTATCGAAGGTGTTTTGTCAGTAGTAAAGGTGAAGTTACACGTTTGGGCTTACATTCAAACCTTTTATCTATCAGAAACAAACTATTGGATGCATTTAAACACAAAATTACTTCACAAGTTATTATCGGGCTTTGGAGAAGGGCATTAAACAACGCTAAGGAATATTTTGCATCTGACAAAAATGCACAATTAATTAACGATGTTAAGCCTAAACACTACGTCGTTAGGATAACAAAGCTTATTTGCTAACAGGAAGTTTAAGTTGTAAACTATGAAAGAAATAAACACGAATTTATTTAAATTGAAGGGTTAGATCATCTTTATTAATGATTTATGTTTTAAGGAAATAGATATTGGTAAAAATATAGTTTTATGTTATTAAGATTATACTTTATTAATTGTACGATAGAAACTTATCAGTTTGTTAAGGTGACAATATAGGATATTTATATAAAATACAATTATAAGATAGAGATAATAATTATAATAATGAAAGTAAATATAACTATGAAAATAAATATAGTAAATAAGATAATGATAAACGTAATAATAAAGAAAATAAATATCACAATGATAACCGTGATAGTAGTAAAATTAGTGAAAATGATGATCA